AAGAGAGTCACAGAGGCAGAAAGACAGACAGAGAGAATGGGATGAACAAAGACACTGAGAGACAGATACAGCAAGAAAGGGAAATACAGAACACACACAGACACCAAGGCAGAGCGACATGGAGTAATAGAAAGAGGGAGACAGAGAATCTGAATCAAAACTACAGAGCAAGACAGACATGAAAGAAGAGACAAGGGGACAAAGAAAGAGGGACAGAAGAAGAGAGATTCAGATGAGAGAACAAAAGAGACGGGGGACAGCTCAGTGGCTCAAACATAACTGTGAGGCTGGCCTGGGACCAGGCAGTGTTTCCTTCTGTTCTGCAGAGTGGGGCTAGGAGTTGGAACTGACTTGATGGCCCCTAACAATAACAACAATGGGCTGGGGGAGAAAAGGCAAATAGAGAGATACTAAAGGGTTTCTGTTTGGGGAGATGAAAACGTTTGGGAAGTAAATGATAGATGCACAATACGATGGCTGCGATTAAAGTCACTGAATTGTACATGTCAACAATAGTTCAAATGGCAAATAAAAAACATATACACACTTAATGTGGTAAAAAATCCCAAATAAAACATATGCTGTCTCAAGCAATTCTACACATACAATTCAGTGACACTGAGCTGTACAACAATTCTCACCATCCTTTTGCAAATCATTCCAGTTTCCGTGAACCTCAATGTCCTAAAATGTCCATTTTAAATGTCGTTGTAGCTGTGGGCCGCTGAGTTTATAGCCACCCTACAGGGCAGCCTTGGAAACTACGCAGGGTCTCAGTGAGTCAGTACCAACTCCACAGGACAGAGAAGAACTACCCCACAAGGTTTTCTAGGCGGTAATTTTTATGGGAGCTGATTGCCAGGTTGTTTGAGGAGACGCTGGTGGGTTAGAACCAACAACTTTTTGGTTAGAAGCCAAGCATTCAACCATTGTGCCACCAGGACTCCACCAATAGCCTTTACCACAATCAAATTTAAAGAGAGAGAGAGAATGTCAGGAATAAAGATGTAAAAATGAGGCATACAGAGACAGAGAAAGAGACAGAAGGGGAGGAAGAGACAGGAAAGGGAAGTGAGAAATGGGGGTAAAGAAAGGCAGTCAATGGGGAGCTGGGGAAATGGGCTGAGAAGTCCCATCACCTTGTAGCTCCAGATCCCAGTGACAACCTGGCAGTCAGACGGGGCCATGCCAGTTACAATGATTTTGGAGCGCAGTCTCCAAATTACCCACCATACCCTGGATGAACCCCAATTCTTTTCAGGTCAGGCACCCTCCTCCATCACGAAGCTCTGCCCCAGGCCTTTCACTCACCCACCTCCCCCAGGTCCACCCTCCCTTGTATGTGTGCAGTTGTTGTTGTTGTTGTAATGTGCCGTGGAGTCGGTTCCGACTCATAGTGACCCTGTACAGGGTTTCCGAGGCTGTAAATCTTTACGGGAGCAGAAAGTCTCATCTTTCTCCCGTGGAACAGCTGGTAGTTTCGAACTGCTGACCCTGAGGTTCACAGCCCGATTTGTAACCACTACGCTACCAGCGCTCCTTATGTGTGCAGTTAGGGTATGACTTATAGCCATGGAGTCTCTAAATACTCCAGACTTTTGCATATGCTGTTCCCTCTGCTGGACACTCTTCTCCTCTCAGCCTTCTGGTCTCAGTTACAGAATCTTCTCTTCTAGGAGCCCTCCCAGAATCCTCCAGTCTGGGTCAAAATTCCCTTCATCCAGGAAGCTTTCCCTGATTCTGCTGAGTTACATACTCCTTCTGGGATCTTCAAACCCAATCCCTGCCCACTCTTGGATCATTGCTATCTGGGGATACATCTGTCTTCTCCACTGACCGAGTCCCATGAGGGCAGACCGCCGCTGTCTTGTCATTGCTGGGTCCCTAACACCACTCAGCAAAGGGTCTGGCATTGAAGGGCTCAGAGAGTGTGCTGAATGAATGAATGAATGAATGAATGAAGAGATGCTATACTAAGGAGTTTGGACTTTGTCCAGAGGGCACTAGGGAGTCACAACTTTTCACTGAAGGAGTGTCAAGGTCTTATCTGTGCTTTAGAAACTCCAGGCTATCTCTCTGACTTTCTGAACCTCAGTTTTCTCATCTGAAAAATGAATAACAACAGCCTCTCCCTTTTGAGTTAATGGGGGGACCAAATGGGAAGATGCTCTAAAAAGTCTAGCCACAATACCAGGCCAGAGGAAAGTCTCAAAACCTCAGAAAGTAAATGAATGCACCCAAATACCTTGTCTCTCATTTTTGCCTGACAGACTCCTGGCTGTGGCTGTGTGCCATGGAGTCGGTTCCAACTCATAGCGACCCTGCACAGGGTTTCCAAGGCTGTAAATCTTTACGGAAGTAGAATGCCTCACCTTTCTCCCACAGAACAGCTGGTAGTTTTGAACTGTTGACCTTGCAGTTTGCAGCCAAATTCATAACCACAGAGCTCCTTTTCACCCTTTAATGCCCCTACTCAGAGGCCATTTCCTCCAACATATCTTCCCTGGCACCCCACAGTCAGCAGATGACTACCTGCTCTGCCCAAGTCTTGGTTAGTTGTTTCAGCTATTACACTGGTTTCTGATGGCTCTTTCTCCACAAGACTAGAAGTTTCTCAAGAATAGGACCCTCCCTAATGCATGTCGGGGCCTGGAATGGATTGAGGGTTGAATTTGGAGACTGGATGGATGGATGGAGGTTTGGATGGTGTAGTAGTTAGGGTTCTGTGTCAACCTGACCAGGCCAGGGTTTCCAGAGGTTAAGCAGTTGGAATGTGCTTATTCTCAGGGTAATGAAACCTAATACAACCATAGTTAACTCTATGATGATTGACTAAACAGCCAGCCAATTAAAAGGATGCTTCCTTAGGGGTGTGGCCTGATCCCAATATAATGGACATAAGAGAGGGACTCTTCTCTGTCTTCAGCTAGGGACTTCGGATTCTGCCATTGTAAGCCATTTCCTTGATAATAAATTTCTCTGTATATATTCATACATATGTTTCAATGATTTTGCTTCTCTGGAAAACCCAGTCTAAGATAGGTGGGTAGGTAGATGCATGAATGCATGGATAAATGGGTGGAGGTGTGGGTGGGTAGGTAGATGGATGTGTGGTGGGTGTATGGATTAGTGTTGAGATCGAGGCATGGGTGGGTAGATGTATGCTTAGGTGGATGACTGATGGATGGATGTATAAATATCTGGATGAGTGAGTGAGTGGGTAGGTGGATGGATAAATGGATGCATGGTTGAATCACCTTTCCACTAAGTCTTGGTAGATCCTACCCTTGGTAATCCCCAGGATGGGCCCATTATTGAAATGTTGGGACCTTAGAAAGGTTTGAGGGTTGTTGTAACCCCAACTCGTTCCCCCTAGACCTTGGATACTCACACATATCCTGAATCCAGCTTCTAGAGATAATGCCACTCTCCTTCTATGTTCAAACTCATCCCCACCGATCCTGGAAAACAAAAGGATTTTCATCCATCAAAAGGGTTCTGGATGTTCACCAGAGCCCCCTTGCAGTCTCTCCTGTGCCTTCTTGCACCAGCAGACTCTGTCATGACACACTGAAGCATCTTACAAAGGAGTTGTTGTTCAGCTGTTCTTGGGACTCTTGTGACCCACAGGGTTTTCTCTGGCTGAGTCTATCTCAGTCTGGAAGCGCCACTGAATCCTGTTCAGTTTAATAGCAACACACAAGCTTTCACTATAGTCAGGCGGGGTGGCTGTATATGAGGTGCATGGGCTGAGAATTGGACTCAGGTCTCCCCAGTGCAAGGTGACACCACCCAATGCAAGGTAGAAACTCAGGTTTCTACCACTGTACCCTAATACTTCACTCAAATACAAAAAGCTCACTCATTGCCATCAAGTCAATTCTGACTCATAGTGGCACTGTAGGATAAGCACTGGACTGCTAACCACAAGACTCACAATTCAAACCCACCAATCTCTCCTTGGAAATCCTACACAGGCTCACCAAGAGTCAGAGCCAACTTGATGGTACTTTACAACAATAACATAGGGCTTTTGAGGCTGTAAATCTTTACAGGAACAGAAAAACCTCATCTTTCTTCCAAGGAACAGCTGGTGGGTTTGAACTGCTAATCTAGTGCTGATCCTATAGCACCATACCGAGATTCCCCAATATCTTACAGTAATCCCTTAAGAAAGGGGACAAATCTTTGAATGTGGTGGGTGGAGCCTGAAGATGTGAACTATGCAAGAAAAATCTGTATTTGCATCTTCTGCTCCTCTCATATGCAAACGAAGATGCTGCATTATTCATATACTGACTTCCAGAGGGTGGGACATCTTGAGTTACTGGTGGGGCCAGGTATGCAAGGGGTATGGTTTATCCTAGAGGGCAAAACCTTACCTGGGGGCCTGCTGGTCACATGTGGCTGAGTCTCTGTGTAGCCCCCCACGGGTTGGCCTTCTGGGCTGAAGGCTGCACCCTGCCCTGTGACGGGAATTGAGGGGTACAGACTGAGCCCCAGGCTGCCTGGGTCCTGGCTTTGACAGTTCCCAGGGAGCCCCAGGCCTTCCCTCCCCACCTTCTCACTCTACCTGTGCGGTTGGATTGATCAATCATTGGTTGTACAATGCGTCTCCGGGCGTTAATGAACCTGAATGGGCATCATAGAGATGGAGGGGGTGTAAAGAAAGAGTGGGACAGGGGCACAGATGAACAGACTGAGGAATAGAGTTAGCTGGGAAGAGAGTATGGGGTAGGGAAGCCAAGAAAGTTCCGAGGGGTTGAGAACCGCCTTCAGCACCACGGACAGCGCCCTGCCTCCTGCCGGTCACTTACCAGTTGTTCACCTGCAGGATAGTGAGCCCCGTGTCTTGCGCCAGCTGTTTCTTCTGCTCCTCCGAGGGGTACGGGTGCTGCGATCACCAACAAGAGTCACCCTGCCTGTCCTCCCACCCGCCCGCCGTCTTGGTCCTCAGGGCCGCCAGGCTCCCAGGCATATCGGCTCGCGGCTGCCTCAGGGCCCCGCAGCCAACTAGGCGGAGAACTCAGTAGAGTTTCTTGCTGCTCCGCGCCCAGCGGAGACGCAGCACCGCCAGCTCTGAGCAATTAAGCGCGCGGCGCCCCGCCTCCCCCAGCAATTAGAGGGTAATTGGCGGGCCTCGGTAGGGAGCTTATGTGAAGTGGGCTTCTGCCATGCAGGGGAGGGGTCGAAGCCCTGACATCATTATGGTCTCTGGTGCGTCCCTCTCTCTTCTTTCTCTCTCTCATTCTCTCCTTGTGTCTGCACTACTTTTCCCTTTCTCTTTCCCTGTATCTCTGTCTCTGTGTTTCACTCTCTTCCCGTGTCTCTGTCTCTCCATGATTCAGTCCCTCCTTGACTCTGCCTCGGCCCCTCAGGACTCCCTGTCTCTCTTGTTCTTATTTTGCCTTCCCCATTCCTCCCTGTATCTCTGTGTTTCAACCTCTCTTTGTCCCTACATTTCAGTCTCTCTGAGGCAATGTGGTGCAGTGGGAAAAGTCACACTGCTACGTTTGAACCCACTTACGGCTGTGTGGCACTGGGCACACCCACTAACTTCTCTGTGCCTTAGTTCCACATAAGCAAATAGGAGAAATTCATAGCCCCTCCCTCACAGAGTATATTTGCTTGGGCTATAAATGGGTGGATGACTGATGGATGGATAAATAGATGGATGAGTGGGATGATTGTAGAGGTAACTAAGTGAATTACACACCCTAAACAGCTGAGAATGAGAGCCAGCCTTCGCCCACCCCATGCCCCAGAGCCACAGGACTCTCACCGAGAGATGCTGGAACAACCAGGCTCTCATGATGTTGGTGGCCACCTTGGGGAAGATACCCCTCTTCTTGTTCCTCCGCCGCTCCTGGTCCAACTCTTCGTCCTCTCCCCCAGAGCTGGGAGAGGCCACGCTTGTATCGAGTCCATCTCCTGAAGGGAACACGCATGCTGTGTGTGTGGACAGTGAAGGGCAGTGTGGACCTAGAGGCCCAGAACTCTCAACCAAGACACCACTTCATACCCCAGCCTTCCTTTGCCCCTCCAGAAGTCCTACTTCCAGTCTAACTTCAATCTTCAGACTGACTCCCACATTTCTCCTCTGTCTCTCAGGTGTCTCACCTTGGTCGCTGGAGTTGTCCCCACTCTGGGAGGCCAGGCCCCCACTGGATGGACCCGGGGTCCCCAAATGTATAGACCCGCTGTCCTCAGGGTCTCGAATCCATGTATTATTCTGGGAAACAAGAGTTGGAAGTTAGTGCCAAGGCTTGGAGCATGAAAGAGCCCAGTGGATAAGACCATGGCTAGGACTTCTGGGCATGGAACCTGTCCTGGCCTCTTCCTGGCTTTGTGATCTTGGCTAAGTCACTTCACCTCTCTGTGTTTCCGTTTCCTCAACTGGAAAGCGTAGGGTAGCTATAATACTTACTACTTACTACTCATGTAAGTATTAAATGAGTAATTTTTGTAAAACCAAAACCAAACCAGTTGCCAATGAGTTGATTCCAACTCATAGCGACCCCATGTGTGTCAGTACCTGATTTCTGGGAAGCGGAATGCCAGATCTTTCTTCAGAGGCACCACTGGGTAGATTCAAACCACAAACCTTTTGGTTAATAGCTGAGTGTTGAACTGTCTATGCCACCCAAGGTCTCTAACTTATGTTAAGGCACTTGTTGTTGTTAAGCGCTGTTCTATTTGGTTCTGACTCACAGTGACCCTGGATAGGGTTTCCAAGGAGCAGCTTCTGGGTTTGAACTTTGGACCTTGTGGTTCACAGTCCAGTGCTGAACCTACAGCACCATACCAGGAGTCCATTAAAACACACAGTATTACTTAATAAGATGATGGGGCTATAGGCTAAGTATTGGACTGCAACCACAAGGTTGATGGTTCAAATCCACCAGCCACTCCTTGGGAGAAAGATGAGACGGTCTTCTCCCATAAAGATGAACAGTCTTGGAAACCCTATATAGGGTTGCTATGAGTCGGGATTGCCTTGATAGCAGTGAAGCTGGGTTTGGCAATACAGCCCCATGACACCTTAACTGAAATCTTGGGGACTAGGAATAGTGCAGCATCTTCCACATATTTGGACAGTTAATTCGTGCATATCTTGTGTATTTCATAACACACTCCAGCAGGGTCTGGGGCTATAACCTCGTCATCAAACTCATTAACATTTCTGCAGCCAAATGAATGAATATTTAACTAAGTGGAATAAATAAAGTCTATTAATAGCCTCACATTAGTTCAGGTCAGGTTTTGCTCCAAATGAATTTGCACTAAACTTATGGAAAATAAAAATCATTTCATTTTCAGAAGCTGTGGAATTCCAAAGTACTGGGGCAGTCTTTTCTTTATCCAAACTCCAACACAAACTTTGAGAACCTGACAATAGTTTTCGTTCCCCCTCTGCCCTTGCTTTGTGTGTTCCAGGGAATTCACTCATCCATAAACAACAACCCAACCTAGTACCGTTGGTCGAGTCTGACTCGTGACAACTTACAGAGCAGGACAGCTTCATGGGTTTTGTTTTGTTTGTTTTTATGGGCTATATCTTTATGGAAGCAGATCTCCAGTCATTTCTCCTGTGGTACTACTGGTGGGTTTGAACCAGCAATTTGGGTCATGATCCACCCATATGGCTCTATTGAGATTTCCTTGTCATTTGGCTTGAAGGTTTGGTTCATTCATAGGAGGCATTGCCAAAATGGGGTGAGAATGAAGTTGAGTTACGTGTCACTGTGGTCACTGTACACTGGTTGTGCGAACGTCTCAGCTCTTGACAAGCTGCCCTCTCTTCAGCAGCCCACTCTGATTATGGTAACCATTGTAGTGTGAATGTGTGTAAATGTGACTGTAATTGACTCTTTGTGTCTAGAGCTGAATCTGGGCAACTGTATCTACCTCTGTAGTGTTGTTTCTAACCTGTGGGGCTGTAACTAAGTTTATTCAGGTGTAGCTGTAATTGTGTGGCTGTATCTTTGTGTCCTTATATGAATCTGCGCAGCTCTATCTACCTCTGTAGGGCTGTATCCAATCTGTAGGGTTGTAATTAAGTTCATGCCAATGTAGCTTTGGTTGTATCTTTGTGTTTATACCTCAGCCTCCTGGTGTGGCACTGTATGATAAGCACTGAACTGCTAACCACAAGGTCAGCAGTTCAAACCCACCAGCTGCTCCTTGGAAACCCTATACAAGGTAGCCATGAATTGGAACCGACTTGACAGCACTTAACAAAAACAACTCAATCTGTTTGGTTGTAACTTTAGTTCATGCAGCAGCAGCATGGGGCTATTGGTCTCTATCTTCAACTGTATGGCTATTATGTACCTGAAATGTATGTGTGTTGCAGAAACACACATATTATATGCTATGGATTGAATTGTGTCATCTCAAAAGATATGTGGAAGTCCTAACTCCTAGTATCTGTGCACATGACCTTGTTTGGAAATCAGGCATTTGAAACGTTATCAGTTGACATGACATGAGGTTGTAATAGACTAAGGTATGTCCTGTCCTCATTTTACATGAGTCGTGTCCTTATAAAGAGAGAAGAGACACAGACACAGAAGGAAGACGGCCATGTAAAGATGGAGGCAGCGACTGAAGTGAAGAATTTAACAAGCCAAGGAACATCACAGATTGCCAGGAGCCACCTGAAGCTAAAGAGAGGCAAGCTAGAGCTTCAGAGAGAGACCAGCCCTGCTAACACCTTAATTTTGGACTTGTGGCCTCCAGAACTCTGAGACAACAAATTTCTGTTGTTTTAGGTCATCAAGCTTGTGGCTCTTTGTTACAGAACCCATAGGAAATTGATATATTGTGTCTGAATCTGGTTGTGTGATCTGTGCTGCTGTTTGTGGCTGGAATGTGTGTTTAAGTATGTGGTATATTTTATAGTCAGGCTGTATGTAGCTGTATGTGAGCCTGTGTGGCTGCATCTATGAATGATTTACCTGCAGCTATTGGGATGTGTGTTATGTATCTGTAGCTGTTGCACATTTGGGGTGTGAATGATGTATACATCTGTGTATCCTATAGTTGGAAAGTCTGGTGGTGACTGCGTCTGAGGCCGTGTGCTTTGGTGCATGTGTGTGACTTAGTGCTACAACCAGCTGTGTCTGAGCGTGACTCTGACTACAGGATAATTACCTGTGTCCCACCTGGACCCACAAAGGAGCTCTGGTAGCGTAGTGGTTACAAGTCGGGCTGCCAACCTCAAGGTCAGCAGTTCGAAACTACCAGCGGTTCCTCTGGAGAAAGATGAGGCGTTCTGCTCCCGTAAAGATTTACAGCCTCAGAAACCCTGTGCAGGGTCACTATGAGTCAGAACCGACTCCACAACAACAACAACCTGGACCCACCTGGTCTGAGAGGCTGGGGCAGGAAGCTGGGTAGTCCTCGAGGTCCTCCCTGCAGCTGCCATCCCGATCCTCGATGACCAGATCGATGGGCATCTTTCCCTTGAGGCAGGTGATGTAGCGGTGACAGAAGTTGTCGCACAGGTCATGGACCTGGGGGGGCACCGGGGTACTTGGGGGGCCACCCGGGGGCCAGGGCTGAGGTATACAAGGACAAGGGTGGCATTCTGCTCCAACTCCAGTGGGGAGAGAGCCCGAAGGAGGGGTGGAGGGGGCAAGAGAGAGAGGGGGGCTGGGAGACAAGGTGAGGGCGTGAAGGGAAGCATGAAGCACTCACCTTCTCCAACTCCAGAAGATGGAACCGGAGCACCTGAATGGCCTGTATCATCTGAAAATGGTGATCAAAAGAGACAGAAGTGGGGCAACAGAGAGAGGGGAGATGGAAAAACAGAAAAAGAGAAAGAATGAGATAGAATGACAAAAGCAAAAAACAAAGACAGAGTGACAGAGAGAGAGCAAGAGAATGAGCAAAAGAAAAAACAACAAAGCCAAAGAGAGGAATAGAGAGCAGAGATGGAGAACAGAATTAAGAAAAGAGAGGGTATTAAGTTGAGAGGCAGAGACAAAGGAAGAGAAATGAGCAGAATAGGGACAGAAAAGGCTACCATCATAAGAGGACTGAGCTAAGGGTGTAATATAACTAATGGTTGTTGATAAGTGCTGTCGAGTCAGTTCCGACTTAGAGTGATCCTGTATAGTTTCTAAGGAGAAGCTAGTGGGTTTGAACCACCGACCTTGCAGTTCATATAGAACTAATATGTCCCATCATTTGCCTTTTGCCTTCCTATTTCCGCTGCAAACTACATTTCCCAGAGTCCTTTGCCAGTGGGCTTGGCCAATAGGAAAGCTTGGAGAGAGTTTGGTGAGTAAAGAAGGGAGAAACCAGGTTATTTTTACCTCTTGCCTCTCCCCCTAATCTCTTGCTCTCCGGTGGGTAGCAGAGATTTCCCGCTGTATTGGTATCTAGGTTGTTTCACCTCCCATTGACTTCTCAGCTCTCATAACACCTTTGGAGTTAGAGTGCTGATTAATGGGAAAAGTCCATGATCTTTTCATTTTATTTTCCCACAAACTTTTGACACACCCTTGTGTAACAGAAAGAAACGTGGCCTCATCCTGCATCATTTCCATGATGGCTGAGCCCACTGGCAATAGAACAGCTAACCCTAACTGCAGCCCTATTGTGTGTCAGACACGGCTCTGCTCATTCTACTTGCATTAACTCATTAAATCCTCACAGCAGGCCATTACTACTACTGACACAGTGTGGATGAGGTGACTGAGGTACAGCAAGGTGGACCTACATAGCCTGATTCACAGAGGTGCTAAGTGGCAGAACTGTGATGCATGTTTTCAAGCTCTAAGCTACACTGTAAATGGACAATTATGATCTCCAAGGAGTCCATGGGTGACGTGAATGCTTAACGTACTCAAATGCTTAACGTAACCAAAAAGTTGGTGGTTCACAGTCCATTCAGAGGTACCTCAGGAGAAAGATCTGGCAATCTATTTTGAAAGATTACAGTCACTGAGACACCTGTGGAGCACACTTCTACTCTGACACACATGGGGTCAAGAGTTGGCTTGATGGTAACTGGGAAGTTGGAGAAGGTAGACCAGATGGCCTTCTCCCTCACCCAACCCTGGAGGGTGGGACAGGAGACCCATGGAAAGCAGGTACCAGGGAGGGTCCAACTCTCACCAGGTTGTCCAGCTCTGGGTTGGAGGAGAAGAGGGGCCTCTCGGAACGGACCTGGGAGGGAAGAAAAAGGCCAAGGAGGATACATCCAGGCTGCCCCTCTCCTCTCTGGCTCTCCTGGCATGGGAGTGGGGTGGGGGTGGGAATGCCCACCTGCTTGGCGAAGGCAGCAATGTCTTCATTGAAGGAATCGGATGAACAGACGTCCCCACCGGGGGGTGTGCCCAGCCCAGCCCCGGCCCCATCACGGGGTGAGCATGTAGCCAGTTCACACTTCTCAAAGACTAGGGCCAGTAGGGGGAAGAGAGGGTGTCTGGGGAGGTAGGAAAGGAGAGTTCGTGAGGAAAGGTTCAGAAAACTAGGAGAACAAGAGGCTCAGGAAAGATATGGAAACAGACATGGAGAAAAGGAAACAGAGAGACAAAGAAACAGATAATATACAGAGGACAGTCCAATGGACTAATGCATCATGTGAGCATCATCTGTCTCCATGACCCTGAGACCAGAAGAACTAGATGGTGCCCATCTCCACTACCAACAACTCTGAAAGGGATCACATTAGAAGGTACTGGATAGAGGGGAGAAAAACGTGGAACAAAACTCAAAATCATAAAAAGACCAAACTGGTGGAACCCCAAGACTTTGGTCCTTAGTCACGCTTTTGGTCTGGAACTGAACTCACCCCTATGACTCCATTTTCAGCCACACAATACACAGGGCTACAAGGGGAGTAATAGCACTAGGGAGGTTCGCACACTTTAGATTCATCAACCATTTGAGATCAAAAGGGCAGCATTTGCACAAGGGCAGAGTTCAGAAGGGTTAGGAAAGGAAGAGGAATGGAAACGGGAAACACAGGGAAGAAGTGAGCTAAATGGTGTTACACTGTGGGGATTGCAATCAGTGAGATGAAACAAAACATGTTTGAATTGTTGAATGGAAAACTGATCTACCTTATTATAAACCTTCACCCAATTCACAATAAAGTTTTTTAAAAAAAGAAAGAAAGCAAAGAAACATAAAGGCAGACAGAGAGAGAGGCAGATAAAACCCAAAGCTCCCAGCTTGAGACCCTGTGGGACCCTCAGCCTGGTCCCCACTCACCCATAAATTTCATCCTTCTCTCTCTTCAAGCCGTCATTGTCCACACCTGGGGGTGGGGCCTGGGGAGGCCGGTGGGAGCCATAGGGCCCGGGGGCTCTCGTGGCTTCTGTGAAGCCAGCCAGGGCTGCAGGACCGTCCACAATGCCAGGGTAGTGGGACAGCTCATTGTACTGCGGGAAGCGAGAGGGAGAGAGGCCAGAGAGGTCTCAGCATAGCCACTTCCAGACCCGCTGCCCAGAAATCCATCCTTCTCATTCCTAGGAAGTGTCCAAGCTCTGTCCCTTAGCCCCACAATATCCTTATGGATCTAGTGTGGGGGGGGGAGAGGGCTGAGGTTTCATTCCACAACTTTCCTTTGTGCCCCTAGACTGTGAAAAAATGTCCCATCAGAGATCCCACTGTACAGCCAGGATGACTAAGAGGGCCCGGAGGAGAGAGACTGAGGTCTCAAGTCTGAGGATCAAGGCAGGGGATCAGAGACTGTCTGGCTGTCGGCTTATAGAATCAGGGGTCTCATAACTCCTCATAGAGTGAGGAGAGGAGGGAGGCATGGATAGAGATTCAGAGAGAAACAGAGGGGAGGGGAGAAGGAGCTGGGGGAGAGAGATGCAGAAAGAGATGCAGAGAGGAGAGACACTACAGATACGAAGATGCAAGGAGAGATCAGAGGAGAGAGAGAACAGCAAAGAGAGATAGAAAGAAGGAGACAGAGGGAGAGACAGAGACATAGGAGAAAGAGGGAGGAAGACACAGAAGAAATGCAGAGAGAAACACAGAAGTAGACTCCTGCCCCAGGGCACTTCCCATGGGCACAGTGTATTGTTTTGTGCACACACTTGTACACAATCACTCCCCCACAATCTCACTTTGTCAAATTTGGCATCTGAGGACTTTAACTACTTCAGTTACACCCCACACAGCATGTGAATCCACCACACACATGTACACACACACACAGCCCATACACACCAACCCATGTCCAGATTCACATGCATCAGTCATTCCTAAACACACACACACACACACCCCTACACACATATAAATGCTTTAGGGCACACCCCTCCGGCCACCCAGTCATATGCAGACTTAGGAATACTACCTCCTTTTCCCAAATCACTATGGACACCCCCAATTCACACAGACAGCCAAGAATGCCAGGCCAAGAATGAATAAAAGAATGTGACAATTAGTACAAGTTTGAATGAGTGAGACATTTAACACATGAATGAATGAGTGAGTGAGTGAGACATTTAGCACACTAGTGAATGAATGAATGAATAAGATATTTTGCACATGAATGAATAAAGGAGACATTTAGTACATGAATGAGATTTTGTACATAACTAAATGAATGAATGAGACATTTTATACCAGTGAATGAATGAATGAGTGAATGAACAAGCTATTTAACACAGAGCCTGGCATAATTAAATAAACACATGCTGAAGGAAGGAATAACCCCACAAAACTGCACAAACACATCACCCCAGACAAAACTCATGCAAATGGTCAGCCTTGAAGATTCCTGGTCCCTCTACATAGAGGAAATTAGAAGGACCTTTCCCATCGACCAGAACAAAATCTTTTCTCTAAAGATGAGGTGTCTAAGGCTCTTAGAGGCAAAGGAGAGGTGCAAGAGTGCTCTGAGCTATAAGGTTGTGTGTGTTTGTCTCTCCTTTTCTGTACTTCCTCTTCTAACTTCTCAGCCCTAAAGTTGAAGCCGCCCTCCCAACCCTGAATTGCTCCCAGCGGTACATCACTAAGATGGGCTCCTGCTATGCTGGGATGCTGTATCTCCCCTAGATGGGTCCTTGCCTCCCTCATCGTATCTCCAGGACCAAGAAAGGGAGTCCTTTAAGGCAGCCTGGCGAGACCCACCTCTCCCAGCCCTGTCTCTATCCCCAGCCCAGAGGTGAGCCCAGAACAAAAGTAGACCAGGAAGAAGGGTGGGCAAAGGGCAGAGAAGGAAGAGGGCTAGGGGAGTAGAGATCAAAGGCCTGAGATGGAGAAGGAGAGAAAGGGGCAGATAAGGGACTGAGAGATGGTGGACCAAGGGGCAGAGAGAAGGGGAATGGAAATGTAGAAGACCAAGGAGGTACCGAGAGGCAGTGAGGGGGGATTGAGGGGCAGAGAGTGGAAGACAGAGGGGCAGAGAGAAGGAGGACCGAGGAGGAATAAGAGGGGAGACCAAGGGGTTGAGGGAGAAGAGAAAGACGGAACCAAGGGTCAGAAAGATGGAGACCAAGGGGCGGGAAGGGAGAGCACGGGGCAGAGGGAGGAAGATCGAGGGTCAGAGAGACAGGAGACCGAGGGACAGGAAGAAGAGGGACTGAGGGGCAGAGAGGGAGGCAGGCAGAGAATGAGATGGTGGGGAGTGCAGGGTGGACCCGCGAGAGGGAGAGTAGGGAAGGCGCCGCGCAGCGTCCCGCCCAGCACCTACCCTCCGGGCCATGAGCCGAGGCCGGCCGCAGCTCCCGTGGCCTCGCAGCGCTGGGCGGCCAAGGAGGGCGCCGCCGGTGGCCGCGGCC